ATTGACAACAACCAGTTTTAAAATTTAGAAACGAAACACGCAAGATCATTATAATTCATACAATTAAATACTGTCAATTGTTGCAAAACATATTATCTATTAATACAAAATTAACGAATAAAAAGCATTCAAATGAATAAATAAACAATCTCTTACTATGCGCAGCAATTATAATGATTTTTTACTTTATAAATTATAGTGTTGCACTATTATAAGAATTAAGATACTACACAAAAACGTATTTTTAAATATTAGTAGTAAAAATAATACCGAACTCGTGATAGGTATTTAAGCTTATTTGAATTGTATACGCGAACAAAGTATGCCTACCATGTTATACAAACAAATTAAAATATTGCGTATTTTTTAAATAATACCAAAATTAAAAGATACAAATTCAAATAACATTGATAGGAATAATTATTTAGAACGGCTGGACTGTCTCCGAAACTGTTTTATGGAAAATTCAAAATTGGATGTCTGGTTCAAAAAAGCTAAAGGAAATGGACAATTTTGAAGAACAAGAAGATTTATTTCAACTAAATGTTTAGACATCTATACATATATGAAAATCCTATGCGTGTATTAAAATATTAACATAAACTTCCTATTACAGTCTATACTATATGTACACAAATATGTCATGTATCTTCATCAAACGCAATTCCAGTCTGATCGATATGTCAGATAAAAAAATATTATCCAAATTTTGTTAAATTATTTTTTCATAGTCTTATTAAATCAACTACCTAAAATATACACTCGAACTATCGATTTTTATCAGGCATGTTTTATGACTATTTTTTAAAAACAATCATTAAATCTGATAATCATTTAAGGTTTGCTATGGTAAATGATTTTTAGTTCTATTTGATTACATCGTTATTTTATACAAGAACGGCCATAAAGGCCACAGGAAGTCACGGTTGGCGTGTTGTGGTTTTAAAACAAACTCCGTTTATAAATCTAAATCTTACACTTTTAAAAAAATGTTTTTAGTATAAATCGTTACAGAGCTCTTCAAATAATATAGTAACCTAAGTACATCAGATGTTGATAAAAATCTGTTCAAACTAACATTTTCTGAAAACATTTAACTGTAAAAACAGTCATGAAATATAAAATCAAAGGAACATTTAGAGCTATATCTCATAAAGACACTATACCTAATCTGTTTCCATGAATATTAAGTCCAATATATCAACCGGGTATAAATTGATAGCAGTCATATCACATATGTTGGAATGTATTGTAATTGTTAAAAAACACTACCTAGTACCTACATCGATGATAGAAAAACAAATAACATATTTTCCTCGTTTAACTACATTGGTTAGATATACTATTATAATAGAACTCACTTAGTCATTAAACAACGATTAACTTAAAATACAATTTTTTTCTACTTATCTTTTACAGACTTAATATTATTATTAATTTCACGATAAACTTCAACGAAGGCAGATATTATACAATCTATAAAATCTAATAAAATACACCTATATTAAAAAAAAAAATTATTTCTTCGTATCCACATAGAAATTAAAAAAATATATTTTCAACTTAAGGTTTATGTGACTGAATACTGTGTTTGTTAAAAGAACGTTACCCACCCGTAATTTGTAGTGTATAAACAAGGTTTGCGGCAATGAATACTGTAGAGGCAAATGTATACTACTACTACTCATAAGCTCTACAGGCCATATTGACCCTTGGCTTCCAAAAAAATTCCTCTTCACTCTTTAGCAACATTTCTCCAGTTCCGTTTACACATCTGTTGTAGATCCTTCTTTACTTCATCTATCCATCTACTCCTTGGTCGTCCTTGTCTTCTAGTTCCTTGCAAAAGAATAGAATTTATAGAATGTATTCCGATGGAAAAAAATTCTATTTTACCTTCGTGCAGAACTAAGATAGTATTGTTTGTACAATGATGTGTTTTCATTTTGTACTTTTTTGTAACTAAGTCACGATATCTTTTAAACCACTGAACCGATTTCTTCGTGTAGTAACTCTATAGGTCAGAAATCGTAGCTAAAATCTATTATAAAGTTGACCCATTCCTTTTCAAAATCGAGAAAAACACCCCAAAAATATATATCATTTTAAACTTAGAATTACGGCACTCTATAACCATTATTAAAATAGTAGAATCAGTTTCAAATTTGTGTGGAATATTCTTTAGATAATACTAGATAGTACTACCAATAAACATTGACATTTGACAAATTTCGTTTACCCTAAAAGAGATAGAAACTTTTTTTTTCGCTTTTTTAACATATACAATTTTCTTAAAAATCAGTTGTTAAACTTTTTTTAATTAAGGAAACCCCAAAATGCGATGTATAACTAACTTTGACAATAAATTATTTTAGACAGATGATCAACCCTAAACGTATCCACTCTAATATCAATAATATACATATATAAGTATTTTTAAGAACATTATTGTCATTACATTTAATGTTTTTATCGATATTTGTACTTCTACCATTACAGATTCGCATCGAAACATTTATTTGAAAGTGATTTTGTCATATAGACCTGTGACCTCACCCACCCTAATATGCTTAATCTCCACTATGCCCCGACCCCACTGTACTGCCTTTTTTTATAGAAATGACTGTGATAGTCAAAAAACAAAATAACAACTAATAAATTATAAAGAATCCTCAATATTGTTATAATAGGTATTCACTAAAGTTTAAGCTCTAAATAAAAACGTTGCGAAAAATTGACTACACTTTACTCCATCATAAATAAGTGCTGTTGTGCGGCGTCCTCTTAATATTTAAATGAAATATTACAAACAAAAAATAGCAACATTTTATTTTAGATAGTAATTGTACAATGTTAACAAACTTAACTCGGAACTTCTATTAAATCAACAAGTTCTATGAAAAAGTTGTAATTTGAATTAGCCAACAATCGATAAATCCTAAAGTCAACATCAGTTATTATAGTAATTAGCTGATACAATAATATGCACAGTTTACAGAGTCGTTCAGTTACTATGTGTATATGCAACTTAATAATAGTGCTATGTTGCATTTTGAAAAAATGTCCTATAATGTGTTTACACTAAAAAAATGTTAAGTAAAAAAAGGCAAATCTTATACATTATAATATAATAGACGGTTTCAAATTTCATAAATCATATTTATTGATATCGTTATAAATTTTAAAAATTTTATTTTAAATTTCATTAAAGAAAACGAGTTGATGGGTTATAAATATTAATATTATTGCCAACAGTCAAACAGCAAACACCAAGTCTGCAAAAACGTAAAAGGGTACTAGTTTATACAGTTTAATGAATATATAAACACTCGCTTAAATAAGCGTAGGAACTCAATTAAATTAAATTCGGAGACTCAGTAGTTATTGGATTCAATTGAGGAGGGAACTGAAAATCAGGGGTCTCCACTGTTTATCTCCGGATAGACAAGAGTCCCATCAAACTTTTTTACCACAAGAACCTAAAATACATCAATTTTGACCTTAAACTTTGAGTAGCACCTCCAGATTTTTATAAATTTCCTCTTATAGAATAAATTATTATAAATAATTAATTTTGCCAATTTTAGGTTGTAATGTATTTTGAAAAAAAAGACATCATATTAGTTCCAAATGTGTCTAAGAAATATTTTTAGCTGATTTTGTCTCATAACCATTATATATTTATGCAAAGCTAAAAAGATATTCATTTTTTTAACGTAAAAATATGCTGTAGCATACAAGTTAATTGTAATTTATATATGTTTTAAAATCAGAAATCAGAATACATAATAGTATAAGGTAACATGAATAATTCCTTAAAATGGTAACATACAAGCTATACACGGTCGTTCGCAATGTTAAACCTAAGAGAAAAGTGGTTTTTAATCAATTTTGACCATGTCAATTTATTTTCAGGAAAATTTGTATTCGCTTTAGCCTTTAGAATGAAAGCCATTTTGTTCTTACAAGAAACCAATTTAGACCTAAAAGCCTGACAAAATTACGCCTACTTAGAATGGCCGAATTTCTGCAATAAAAAGTAGTTCTGAAAATAGTTCTGTAAAATTATTTAAGCTCATCAAACTTTTTTTCAGGTTATTGTGAAATTTGATTTTTGAATAACAGTTTCGTTTACTTTAAAAAACTACTAATGGGAATACTAAAATTTTTAGGAATTTAAGAAATTCAAGTAGGGTTTAAACACAGTTGTAATTAAAATATCAATATTCGATTCCCACAATGAACCTAGAAAAGATAAACTCAAATATTTGTATAGAATTGAAATTAAACCATCATACCATAAGTAGGTATAATTTTGTTAGGCTTTTTGGTCCAAAACGTCCAAAAAAACCGACCGCTTTCAATCTCCTTAATTGCACAATTAAAAATTATGTACTAAACTTTAGATGCAAAAAAACTAGACATGCTATTTAAAATCTAAATCGACATTGAGGAGATCCAACAAAAAGTATTATACTTATATTTTAAATGCGTATTTTGGTTTTATTCTGGCTGTGCTTTTGACTATAGTTACGATACCGTGACTGTTCTAAGCCTATTATGTTTCGTCCATAACGCGCTGTCTTTTTTTTTAGCTTCAATGCGATAGCTGTATGATACTTTATTAAATTCCGTTAATTTGTTATACGACAAACCGTTTTTCCTCCCCCGACAATTACGGGTATTGATGCCTACACGGAAACAACATACTATATCGTTTCTGTATAATATAGATACAAACTAATATTATGATGGGTAAACGCACATGGCGTGTACTGTATATAGGTACACCTATGTATAATATGTTTTTATAACGATAAAATCATTTTAAAACCCATCGTTGTAGCGTTTTCCACGGTGCCGGGAAAATACAATGGACCGCGGAAGCACGTGACAAAACTTTAATGTCAACAACAGACAGCGCTGCGGTCGAGGGTCAGCGAAGGTCGCGTCGCCGGCCGGTGGCGGCTGCCGGCAGCGTCAAGTAACCGACAGCGACACACGGACACTGTACCGCCGCAGTGGTCGCCGTAGCCCGTAGTACTACCGCAGGGGGAGTGACAAAAAAAATCAACGCGCCGCGCCGTGGACGAAAATATCAACTGGCCGCCGGGAACAGTGTTTTTCGGCCTTACACCGACGCCACTAGTTGATTCACGTCGAACCGCACGGGACCATCCCTCGATAAACCGCCGCAGGGTCGAGGACATCCGCACCGAATTCCCCGAGTGCGTGCGCGTCGTACCTATTTAATAATATTTTTTCGGTTCGGTTCGGTCGTCGAGGGTATCACCACACATTCCGCTGTTATTTCAAAGGCTGCATCAATGATGTTGATAATTACCACTGCACCTGCTCGAAAAGCATATTGTTTTCGTAAGTAAACGTTTTTCTTTTATTAGTCGTCCAAATTGCGATTATCTTATTATTATTTTATTTTTTAACCAAAATACGTGACGCTTGTGCCGCTCGAAAGGAATATTCTAGTTTCTACTTCCGTTATTTCGTTATCTCGTCCGATTGTAATTGATTAGTCAATAATCGTGTAATACTATTAATAAGCGCGTCGGGATAACTATTTGTAGTACACTTACAAGAAAACCGTCCAATGCGCCAAGAATGAAAGTTTTGGCACCGCGTCGGACCTCGACCTAGGGACTTTAAAAAAAGAAAAATATACACTACATTTATAATTATATGTGTCTATCTTAAAGCTTCCGGCTTGACGAAACCCGAGGGTATCGCACTCGTCACCGACTTCCCAATTCCCTAAGGTCGTTGGCAATATTTTGGCGCTTTTTAATTGTCCAATGTCGTTGTCGTTTATCACACATCAATTTTTTTATTCACACGGTTGCGTTGTCCTGGCAGATTATTTTTAGAGTCGTTTATGTAATTCTGAGCTCCGTCGCAGTCCGACCTTTGAGTTAATGTAGTACTAACGTCAACTGCAATGCCTATCGTTTAATATTTAATTTACCCCAATGAAAATGTTATGTCCATTAATCGATCTTAACCTTGTTAAATTTTCAAACGACATTCATGTAACGCGAAGTATGATCATTAGTTTGCACTAGAAAATCATTATGTTGCACATATTTGGCCCTCATAATAATATAGGTACGTTTGACGACGACGGCAATGCGTTAAAATAGACCTATACAAGCAATTTATACTAATATTATGACATTATGTTTTCTTTTATTTCGCTACCGGGCACCGGCCGTTTAACGACGATTAAAATTGCCGCCTTATTGCAGCACCGAAACATAATAATAATCATTATTATTGTTTTTACCATTAGTCGACACGACAAAAAAACAAGTTTAATTTTCTCGAAACAAATTAAAATAGTGTATACGCTGAAAAGCGTCAACCTCTTAAAAGGTCATGACTCATAAATCCTATTATCTCTTTATTTTATTTAATAACATATAAAGTTTATCACCATAGTATAATTCTGTCCTGTTTGTGTGTAAATAGATTTTTTCATCTATACACGTTTATGCTGTCAAAAGTTATGATCATTACGGTATTAACAGAGTAAATAAATCTGTGTTTTAAAGTCTACAAATACTAATAGTTATAATTTATCAGCCATAGTATTATAGTTTAATCGATTAACTAAATTATTTATACCTATATAAGTTTGTACAAATTGTTTGCTTAAATTGTTAGGAGTTAGCACTATAACCTCTCCAATTAAAAGTCTATACTCCCATGGTGTCTATCCGTCGCTTGCGGCGATAGCTTTAATAACCGACCTAATTAATTAATTAATACTAATTAATTAAAAGTATTACTGGTTGACGGTAGTCGCTGAGAACTTATTGTATGCTAATTCTAAGTATACTGTGAAAAATATGATTCACCGCTTTTAGGTACCTCGCGCAATTTAAGTATTATGAGAAAATAATGACCGATTCCACTTATTTATGTATTATACAGTTTGCCCCAGAATGATTATATGAGTGTTAATCTTTAAACCATCAATACCGCAATATAATGTTTCAGAGAGACTACATGTAACTTGTACTTATATATACTCCAGCTAAAAAAATTGTAAATTGGCAAGTGATAACAACACGAATTCGTAACGTCAGATTACAATGAACGTTTAAGCCACACACGTTCAATCAAAAAATATAGTTTTATTATTATTATTTTACGTACCTTCGCGCATATTATTATCAAATGTTTATATAGATCCATAGGTCGACGTACAACGGTTGACAAATATCTACGGGTTTATCTGTAAAACCATAAATAATAAGAAGCGAAATGAGTTCATTACTAATGACAATATTAATGTCGATTAGATAACGCGGATAAATACAATTATTTGGAGAAAAATTAACTAATTTTTTTTTTGTGTGAATTAATATGAGTATATATTACAAAAATTTAAAAAAATTCGTGTCTTTCGAGGTGCAACGGTTGCATAAGTTCAATCTTTGCATAATATAATTTTATAATGCTCTATGCACGGTTACGTGCAGTGGTCGGATTGACACGACGCGATAAAAACCCCTCCGCCTTTTACGCATGTCGTCGGACTTATGTTAACTTCGTGTGGCTGACGTAATTATTATTATATGTTCTTAAATACACACACACACACACACACACACAAATACACATATTCAAACTCACGCGGCGATGAACAATTATTACTTATTATTGTCTCTTGTTTGCAGTCGGCAGGTCTATGCGGTTTTTTGCAACGACACACCGTGTGGCTCTTCAACTTGTGAGCACTGAGAATAGTATTGTTATTTTTTTTATAATAACATAGTATGTCAATTTAGAATAAACGGACAACCCATATATCCTGTAGATTTTTTGAGACGTGGGCGCTGAGGCGATCGTGCCCTCAGCTTGAGCAGAACATAACTAATTAGGAAAAATAATTTAAAAAAAAAAAAGATTATTTAGTTTTTGAAAATTATAGCCCCTTAGATAGATTGTACCCTGGTGGCTGGTCTACGACCGGCGTAAGACACGGCTATAGAATTCTGCAATCTGTAATTACATCTCCGTTCGATTTGACTTGGCATGTGCGCTGTCTCTGCAAAAGGTCTTTTTTTCCGGCGAAAAAGATAAAATACCGATTAACGCATTACGTAGCGATAACGTCGAGGACACACACAAAAAAAAGACCAACGGCAATCAGCCAATTAAATTTATGATGTTCTTCTAATTTTGTTGTATAATATAATAGTAGTCACTGATCGTTTCGTATATGACCATGCAATATGCAACTTTATTGCAATATCGTTTTTTCGACGCCGGAAGATTTCGTCAATTTGTTGCCAATCATTTACACGTGCAATGCCGCCAGCTCTTAGCCCAAGTATGATAATTGTACACAAGTACTCCTATGCGTACAGAGGTTACGCCGTCTTGCCAGAGCGATCGACGTTATCCAATGACGTTATTTTGTCCTTTAGAGCACAGTCCAATACTATCTATAAGGATAATTATTAACGTCGTCATAATCCGGCAATCCCTGAACATGCGTGGGAGTCATTTTGATTTTTTTCAGGTACCTTCAATCAATAATTTGACTGTCGACCTCGTCATTATCGGTTCATTTTGTTACCGTATCCTTTAACATAGCTTCGAATTTCAATGAATATTTAAGGTGCACTAGAATACTACTTGTTTCGCTATGAATTTTAATTTGCAAACATACCACTATACGAGAATTATGTAATTTTGTTGAGTGCCATAAAATTAATATTAGCTAATATATAATATTATGTCATTTGTGTGAATTAGTGTAAACTGGATTATGTGTACAATTTTATCACAATGCTTCTTTTTTTACCTGCTCCTCTGCACTACCGGCCGGTATAGTTAACTATTTGCATACAACTCGTATCCCATTCAATATTTGACCATTTTTACTGGTGCGTCTAGACGTATAAAAACTGTTTACGACCGTAGAAAATAGATGATCCTATCAATGAAATTTATGTTATGATATTGTGTGTTGACCTCAAACGTGTCGCACCCGTTTCTTTGGCGTCTCTACGCGGACCGCGTCGACGAAAGTGACGCCACATAAATCTTTTACACGCAGGTAAAAGGAATTAGGTATTTCATTTTTACCATATCATTTTAAGGGTGTAAGAAAATGAGCAAGTAAGAGAGAAAGATATGTTTTGTGTTCTTTTTTTACCCTGAATAGGGTAGTATCCGACTTGTACTTGACTAATGTACGCGTGTAGACGGGGATGAGGAAGACGGTTTGACCCAAGTCTCCTGGTCCATTAACAACGTCATTATAGGTGTGGCCACAGTTTTAAAGCAAATAAGTACACGTGTTATTGTGGTCGGGCAAGAGTCAATTTGAATTTCGAATTGTTCCCCACGGCCGGCAATGTTTAACAATTTACTATGTCCTCCAGAAGTTATACTCTATCGTTTCGCGAATTTCTTTGGAATTAAACCTATTTTTCACAGTAAAAACCAAGTTTTCCTAAGTTTTACTCATAATATATACATGTCTAAAATTAAAAAATACCCGAAAAACAAAACAAGTATTTTTACTTAACTGTAGCATAATAGGACACCACTTTATGTTTCCTATAGATACAGATTTCTTAAATGTACCCATTTTTTCATTTGCCAGGGTTTTTTTATTATACAATTCTATAACATAATCAACCTCTAGCATGTGTGGACCAATATAATGATATAGGAAATGTTAAGAATTTCCAAACCACTTTTATCCCTAAGGGTTTTCATGCTTCATCGACACCTATAAAATATTAAATGATATTAAACAAAAAGCACAAAAACGCATACAAAAAATTGTAATAAGTATATGTTAAACCGTGGTTTCAATATTTTTCGATTGATTGTTTACCACTTTTAATCTTAACATCTGCAGATAAAATAACTATGAATGATATTTTAGAGGAGGGGACAACATGACGTTTATTAAGTGTTTAATTTTTTTAACACATAAGCAACGTTCCAACATTTGATTATTAACTGTCCTGTAAATATCATGTAATATATTCGCTTGGTCTAGTAGTTATGTTGTCGGCAAGTCATCCACTTCACCGGGCATTAAATGTTGCAACATTCATCCAACAGTATCTTCGGCGGTACTCTTACATTCATTTGTTTACTATGTGATGCGCAGGTACCCACCTATTATTATATAAATTACAGACTCCATCACTCTAAATGGCTATCGAATAGAAATTAACTTAATCATACCACTTGAAACCTGTAGTATCCAATTTAAGGCTTTGTACGTCAAAATGCGTTAAAGGTGTCTGTAGTATCCTTTTGAGTAGGTACCTAATATAAAAACTGTTTTTATGTGGTTTATAAGAGCCGCCACGAAGAATGTGTATGGT